ATAAAGGAGTTTGAGGACTCCAGAGGATGCTGACAGCATGTGGTGGGGGGGCCCTCCCTGTCCTCGCTGGGGCCCAGGTGCCCGCTGGGGGAGACTCTTTCCTCCCTTTTTACTGCCCTATAAAGCCGAAGACAAGGGGAATATAAGGCTGGCAGAGAGGCGCCGGGAGGGGGGTGGGCGGGAGGGAGAGGTCACTGACACAGGCAGACAAGATGAACCCCCACTTTGTTGGGATCCTGCTCAGCACCCTGCTGGGGGCTGCCTGGGGTAAGGAGGTGGCCAGCTACGCTGTCACACAGGCCTGTCTTTCCCCTCTGCCAGCCGGCTACCTCCCACCCCCACCCCACCCCCAGGGCCCAGGTCCAGCTCTTCTTTTCTCCTGCCAGGAAGCCGCATGCGGTGCTATGACTGCAGCGGAAGCCCCAGCAGCTCCTGCAAAGAGACTGTGACCACCTGTGGAGAGGGCCAACGCTGTGGCTTCCTGGACCGCAGACCCCAACTGGGCCTGGGACAGATCAAGCTATCTGGGAATCGTGAGTCCTCAGTTTCTCCTTCTTCCCTCAGCCCTTCCCTGCCTCCAGCCCTACTTCAATCCTTCTGGCTTCCAGAACCTTCCAGGCTCAGTCTGGCTCTGAGCAGATGGTGTAGTAGAGCAGTCTGTCCCCCTTCTGGCTCCTGGCAGAAGCCACAGTCCTTGTGCTTCCCCTCCCCCTCTTTACTCTCCAGAAAGACTCTCCCAGGACCCTCACTCACAAGTGGAAAACTTGAAGGACATATATATGTGTGTATGTTTTACTGTTCCATCTTGAAATAGTTTTGGATTGACAGAAAACTTGCAAAAATAGTCAGCCAGCTTCCCCTAATGCTAATATTTTATAGAGCCGTGATGCGATTATCAAAATCAGAAAAGAACGTTGGTACGATACTACGATACTACTAAGTAATCTACAGACTTTATTCAAGTTAGCCCGTTGTTCTATTTACGTCCTTTTTCTGGTTTGGGACCCAAACCAGGATCCCACATTGCATTTAGTTCTGGTGTCTTCTTAGTTGCCTCCAACCTATGCCGGTTCTCAGTTTTTGTTTGTCTTTTGTGAACTTGATGCTTCTGAAGAGCCCTGATAAATTACTTTATAGAATGCCCCTCAATTTGGATTTATCGGTTATTTTCTCATGATGAGGTTGAGGTCACCCGTTTTAGGCAAGAATACTGCAGAAGTGAGATTGTGTCCTTCTCAGTGCGTCACCTCAGGAGCTCACAATGTCAATGTGTTAACTGTGATCATTTGGTTTCAGGGAGGTGTTTTTTGTTGTTTTTTTTTTTGAGACAGAGTCTCACTCTTTTGCCCGGGCTAGAGTGAGTGCCGTGGCGTCAGCCTAGCTCACAGCAACCTCAAACTCCTGGGC